ATTAAAAACACTGACAGATGGAACAGTGATCTCACAAGAGGCTCAGATAACCTTTTAGTGTAAGGTAGATGCGCTGACTTTATAAGGCCCCATGTAACCGTGTAATGAAGTAACAGCACAAATCAGCCGACAAAACTTCATCTTTGTGCGTTTATTTACAGGTGAATCTTCCCTTAATAGCAGATCTGACTTGTGAATGCCTGCAGATTTTCTCTAAGATCCTGAGAAACAAGAGAGGTATTAGTATGCTTGCAGAAATATGGGTTGATCTTAGAAGAAAAGCTTTGATGGGCAGTTTCCCCCCTACACTTTTGAATGTTGCTTGTGCATATTGACTGAGCACAGAAGGCAAACAGTAGGCTGAACTGGGTTTTCACTGGATCAGTTTGGATGTTGTAGCAGCTGTGAGGACATTTGGAAACTTTGCCTTCATTTTTTTAATTAAATAGTTCAGCATTGCAATAAAAGTCTCAGCTGTGTTGAATTTTAACTTTGCTTGGTCAGCTTCATAATCCATGCTTTTAAGTTGTTTTGTTTGAAACAAACTGTAATGAATATTAACCATAGTTTGCTAGGTCTGAAAGAAGTGGAAAAATCTGATCTCCTAGTAGCCCTGGTGTAGGGATGGGATAGAGGAATGGCTGAGCCTGAAATTATGTGATAGGTTCTCTCTTGGTCCTATGACAATAAACCATGATTTATTTTGTTCTGAACCAGTTCAGTGGCTTCAAGACAAAATGGAGATTTAAAGATAGCTCTGTCTGGGATTGAATTATATCTTTATTGTTCGGATCATCTTGTTACAATAGATTCTAGATTTATCATTTCCTTTCTTTGGTTTGCTGGTGGTTGACTTTTGTTTAGCAGTGGAGTAGCAGAAATCCTGTTGCACAGCTCTGCATGCATAGTGCAAAGCTGTGACAATGTTAGGGGAAGCTCAGCAAGGCAGAAGTGCTATTTGTAAAGCACTCCCCCATGTTTGCTGCACAATGGGCAAAGCAAGAATCGTGTGATTGATTGTACAATCAAGACTACCTGGCTGTAGAATGTTTGTGCTAATCTTATGTTATTCAGAGATGAACAGGATTTCAGCTTGTAGTTAATTTAAAGGACTGCCTCTAGAAATGTTAAGTTTTTAGGGTACTTTTTTGCATCCTTTTCCATGTCTACAATTTATATTGTCAGTGTAGCTGCTTCTGTTTCTCAAAATGTCTAAAGCTTTAAGGTGATGAGCTGAGTAGGTAGAATTGGGTTGATCTGGCATTGCATCAGGTGAGAGACACCTCTCTTGGTCCCAAGCACTTGGAAGATAATGGTTCATAAGTGCATGATGACACTTAAGCCTCCATTGTCATCATTGTGCCATATATAGATTTTTTTATGAAATATGCTATATGGATTTGTATTTTAAGCCCGTGGTCCCCAACCTTTTTAACTCCACGGACCGGTTGGGGAAGGCGGGTCACACACCTCTGCACTCGCGCAAAGGAGCAGGGGGCATTCGCATGTGCATGCGCAAAGGGTGGGTGGGTGCTTGGGGGGCACTTGTGAACCCTCGCGAAGGGGTGGGGGGCAGATGCACTCGCGTGCATGCACGAAGGGGCTGTGTGTGGGGGGGCGGAGGGTGTGTGGTGGGGGGGAGATCCGTCTCCGTGGCCCGGTCCAGCCCAGGCCACAGACCGGCAATTGGGCTGCGGACCAGGGGTTGGGGACCCCTGTTTTAAGCCATTCTGTTAGTTTTGGTGAATTAAAAAGAAAAACTGGAATGGTTGCCACCCTTCTGCAGTGGGGCTTTTTAGAGGACATGCACAGGCCATCATAAAGTTGACATTAAACCAAAATCCTGCTGCAGAAACCTGGATGCACAAGGACAGTCACACAGTGTTCTATGAAGGACAACCTGTTGGAAGAAGAACTGCTGCATGTTTTCCCTTCTGTTCTTCATTTTGCTGGGAGGCTCTATTTTCGTAGCAAGTTTTCTCTCACATACATAGAGAAATAGATCCCTGTATGTTTAAGCTCTTGAAGTTCAGGTTTCCACTATGTTTCTATAGACAAGAACATAGATACAACTTTACCCTGAAACAAGGTGGATTTGATTTAAATCCAATTTAAATCACAATTTAAATTTTAAAAATAGGATTTAATGATTTATATTATGATCTAAAGCATGTTTTTAAAAAAGTCCTTAATCTTTATTCACATTGCCCTGAAGCAATGTACAGTATGTTGTTTCAATATTACTTTTAATCTTTTTTTAATCCTTTCTCCACATCTAGAAGAGCACCTATTGTAGAACAAAATCTAACGGTATACAGTTAAGAGCAACTGTTTAAGCAGCTCACAATATTAAAAAATTGAATTAAAAACATAAGCCAGACATTCAGAAACCCAATTAAACCATACACTGTTTAAAATACAATATTTAAAAGCAAGTAAACATTAAACATCACACTGGAAAAGTGTGACCTTAAAATGTAGTGTGCAGTTTTGTGGAAACTGTAGGTTTCAGTTTGCTGACAAGGCAAACCCTAAAATAAGGTTAGGTGTTGTTTTGAATAGTGCATACATGTTCTTATCAAAAACTAGCAGGATAGCCTGGAGATTCCTCTTTAATGCACAGGCTCTTTATTCTGTTTTTTGGTGATGATGGTGGGGTCTGGCCAGCATTTTCAAAGCTTTGGGGTGCAGCGCTACCCAGAAAATTATAGTGTTTCTTGTGTCCATTTCCCGCTAGGTTTATTTTCTTTGGCAATAGCAAAGCTTGAGCACAATGTGGTTTGTGTGTTGCTGCTTGTACACACACTTCCCAAACATGCCTCTCTCTGGTTGCTGTAGCAAGATACTATTTCTCTTTCCTTGTAGCTGCTGACGGTTGCATTAGCAAAGTGTAATTTCTGGTTAGCTTTTTGTTCTGTTTTTTCTTTAAAGGCTAAATCTGCCATCTGTTTTTACTTGAAGCAGTTTACGTTGTGCACAACTATTTGCAAAAATAGTACATTTAAATGAATGTTGGGAAGGAATTAGTATGAAATGGGAAATCTGTGACTTCGCCATGACTGGGAAAAATGATTTTGTAGGCAGAATTATTTTGGTCTGCTTCATTTCCTTATTGCTGAGGCATTTGTTATTATCTTTGGATTCCTGCTGGGTTGTGTTTTTTTCTTTTCTTTTCTTTTCTTTGAATGATACTGTGCAGCCATCAATTTACACCTGGTGTCTGATGGAATTTCCTTTTACATATCACACACACACACCCAACATCTGGATTAAGTAAAGACTTTTCTGTATTTTATTGGTTATTATAAGCATTTATGATTACCAGCTCATGTTTTATCCAGGTGGACTTGAGAGGCGTATTTTGTTGCCAGCAGTGATACGGTAGCATGATGACATAAAGTCATTAGTTTTCTCATAGTCACAACAGAAAAAAGCATGCTGTTAAAACAGTGAAAGGAGGAGATCAGTTTTTTTCCAATTGGGTGGTGGGTAGTCAACAAACTCAACATAAAAAAACCCCAAGATTATGGCCACTGGTCCCATCACCTCCTGGGAAATAGAAGGGGAAGATATGGAGGCGGTGACAGATTTTACCCTCTTGGGCTCCATGATCACTGCAGATGGTGATAGCAGCCACGAAATCAAAAGATTACTGTTTCTTGGGAGGAAAGCAGTGAAAAACGTAGACAGCATCTTAAAAAGCAGAGACATCACCTTGTCAACAAAGGTCCGCGTAGTGAAAGCTATGGTTTTTCCAG